TTCTTGCCTCCCTACAGACATCCATCCTCACAACTACTGGACCTCCTGGGCTAGCACCATGTGAACAGTATTTGCTGTTTCAAACAATATGCTGCTGATATGATTTTTTGTCTTCTGTCACTGGCTTGTCCTAGCCGGCCTGCTTGCCATGACGAAGAGTGAGGAACCCAAGTGCTGTGTCCTTGTCTTTACCGTACGATTAGTTCCAAATCTGGACTCAAGGCTGACCCCGGCAAATGGGGGCAGAGAACGGGAGGAGTGGCCTCTGCTGAAGTTAGGAATGGGGGTGGCAGCTGGGGGGCTGGGACAGAGATGAGGCCTCCTTTCACAGCCTAACAGCCAGGATAAAAGAAGTCAGAGCTTTTGCTACAAAGTTGAAACACTTGGTTCGGTTTCCTGGTGTTCATCCTTTCGTTGCTTTATCATCCCTCAATCCACTCTACTACTGCCGCTCATCCAGCCCTAACCTCCAGGTACTTTGAACTACCCTCAGGGCCTAGGAGGCTTGGGTTCAATCTCATTGTTTCAGGCCTCTGTAATGGTTTGCACATGCTGTCCCCTCTCCCTGAAGTCTCCTTCCCCTCCTTCTCTAATCCTGGGGACCCCTCTGAGCCCACACTCCTGGCAACTGTCCACATAACTCCTTCCTCAACAATCCTGCAACACACCTAGACTTATTTAATTTTACATGCCCATGTAAAATTTTACACGCAGCTAGTAGAGAGCTTAACATATAGTTGACACTCAATAGACATTGACTGACTGAAAAATAAACCAGGGAATGAGCATATCCCCACTTAGGTCAGTAGTCATGATACGATACAATAATTGTATTGATAATAATTAATAACTGCTACCACCAGATAGACAGACTCTTTCGGTGTATATCCCTTTCTCCAAATTATAACAATAGTTCTTGAATAACAAGCACCTATTGCTGTCCAGGCATGGGCTGGTCATTACAACATACAAGCTACCTTCGTCCTAGCCCTCTGAGGCTTGGAGAGTTAAGTGCCTGCCCAAGGTTAGTAAGGGGCGGAGCTGAAGCCCTGAGCCAGGTCTGCCTGACACTTTTCCCTGAACCACACTTCCTCCCAGAGAGTGACGCTGCTCCTTGTCCTTACAGTGGGCCCTGGCGGGCCTCTGTTGGCCCCCATTCAGGCCCTCTTCCGAGGCCCCAGTGCCTGGACAGAATGGCCTCACAGTTCTGCATCCTGCTCAGTTATCGGAAAGGCCGCTTTCCTCCTACCCTGGAAAACCTGGCAGGCCCAGGGCGAGCAGAGTCTGAGGTCCAGGGCTGATGCCAGAGAGATAGCATGGGCCTTCAGAAGCAGAGCGGCTTTGTCAGAGTGCCGAGTGATTAACCTCAGCACAGCCGCGACACACAATCAGAGGAGCTGCGACGAACCCCATCCTGAGTGGGCCTGGGCAGTAAAACCCAAAAGATGCCCCTCCACAATGCTCTTCTGCCCCCTGCTGAGTGTATTTCCAGACCATGAGTGAGACCTTGCGGACAGCTGGCACATTGCCCCAAAGGTGTCCCCTGGGGGCCCACTCCTCACCTGTTGCACTAGTCCTCTTAGGGCTTGGGAAGCACAGGTGTTTGGGGGGTGCTTGGCATCCTGCTCCCCTTTGTCCCCCAAAGGAATAAATGCCCCCAGGTTGTTTGGGCAGTTACTCATTAGAAATGCACTCCACTGGTATTTCCTGGAAAAAATTAGGCCAGGTGTCTTGGAGTGGGTGACTCAGGACGACAGGAAGCCCTGGGGGTACCTGGTGAAGACATTCAACCCCCGGGTCCTTCCTGAACATGTAGGGTCAGGCTCTGTGCTAGCTGGAAGGGACAGCAGGGGCATCAGACATGATTCCTGCTTGGGTCTGGAGGGGGAGACAAACACAGACCCGTAGGTGTGATCACACACACACGTGAGGCTGACACTGAACGGTGGTAAGGGGCAAAAAGGAGAAAAACACCCTTGTTTGGTGATGAGGAGAGGAGAGGGGGTGATCAGGAAACATCCCCATGGTGCTGAAGGCGGGGTCGGCGCCCCCTGGTTGACAAAGCAGGAGGGGTGGGGAGGAAGGCAGCAGGGGTGGGTGAGGAAGGCAGAGAGCAAGGCAGAGGGTCTTGAAGAGCAGAGCCAGCTGCTGTAAGCTGTTCTCAGAGCCTGAGTAGGTGGTATGAGAGAAGGCACGGTGAGAGAGAAGGCAGGGCCTAAGTGCCAGGCCCGGTTAATCGGGCCTCATCCTGAGGACTGGTGAGCCACGGAAGGGTTTAAAAAGCAGGATGATGCTCCCGGAGTGGAGCTTTAGACAAACAGTTGTGGCAACAGAGCAGGGGGCGGATGCAGAGAGGAGAGAACACTGAGCTGGAGGCCAAAGGCCAGTTTGGAGGCCAAAACCTCTTACAGACAACATTTTTATGGGGGCCCAGCAAAGTTTTAAGAGCTCCCCACTCCATACACCCCCCCCCCAATGTGGTGTATTTACTATTGTTACATCCACTGGATGGAGCAGGAAACTAAGAACAGAGAGATTAAGTCACTTCTCCAAGGACACACAGTAAGCGGTAGTCTCACTATTTGAACCTGTGCAGCTTGAGCATTCCTGCTCTTAACCACTACACTACAGCGTCATTCCATCGAAGATGACAAAGGCTTGAGACGAAAGTATTCCCGATGGGTCCACCTTGTATTTGGGGCTCCCCTGAAATAGCTGTTGGCTTCTGCAAATAAAGGGGTACAGCCTCTAATTCTGAGGCACTTGGGGAAAAACTATCACATGAAATGTTCAGAGGCTGAACACTCCCAGGAGAAGGCAATGATAGGAAGCCAGTAGTAGTCAGCCGAGTCCCCAGGAACACACACCTTGGAAAATGAAAGCCATACTTTTGCTTGGTTGGTATGTGTCTGCAAACTCTGCAAATGCAGGAAAGCAGGGTACATGGAGGGAAGAAAGGGGTCTGCCCAGTGGGAAGGACCCTGCTTTCTTCAATTCATGGCCACACCTGCACCTGCTGGGGAGGCTGAGGCCAGGCAGCTCCTGAAGGTGCTGCGTGCTTGCAGGTAGAGCTGAGTTAGGCCCGGGTCACATGTGGCCAAGGACATGACCACCTAGACCCCTAGGGCAGCTCCAGTTTCAACTCTCTGAGTCAAGCTTCTAGGAGGGATAGGATTTGGTACGGGTGAGGGAGGACAAGAGTCCAATCCAAGGGTCCTCTGATAGAAGAGAGGCCCAGGGCCAGAGAGGAAGGTTACATGTGGCTTCTATAAAATGGATGTGATGGTATGCAAAGCTGGACTTTGAACTTGCTGACTGAGAGCTATGGACAGTGTTTTAGAGTCTCATCTTTGATGTGGGAATAAAAGTCATTGCTAATGCAGGGTTGGGGGTGAATGTCACAGGTGAATACTGGCTGTTGGCTTGCAATTCTACACACTTTGTAAAGCATCAGATGTGCAGAATTGTATTTGGTGGGCCATGTTGTATATCTTGGAGCTGGAGCTGCTGATACTTGCATGTACATTGAACTTCAATATAACTCCAGGGGCTACTAGTTAGTGGTCTGACAATAAAAACAGTAAACAAAAAGGCATCACTGTCCTCATTCCTTCATCTCTGTGGAACTCAGAATTGTGTTTGAAGTTTGAAAGAAGTCACTCAACAGCAAATGTTTACGGCGCCTCCTGATTGCTAAACTAGGGCAATCACCAGATAGGTATTCTCTAAAGGCACATGAAAAACCCCCAGAAAACAGTAATTCAGGGCTGCTCTACACACAGGCTGAAAGCAAAGCAAGAAGGGCAACATTGAAGCCAGGGTCACCATCCTAGACAAGGGCTAGCCCAATCAGCCAATCAAAGGCCTGGCCTGATGTGCCAACACCTGTTAGAGTGGTGTCATTGCTTTACCCAGAAAGAGCTGTCAGAAACGAAACTGTCAGGAGTGATGCACTCCGGCTGGTAAAATCACAATCACAGCACTGCAAATAAATACACACCCCAACATTCCCTTCACGAGTGGAAAAGCCCAGACCCACCTAAGAGCTTTTATACACAAATAGCTGGACAGACTCCCTCCATGCTGGGACTTGGCACCCAAACTCCTCCTAGGCAGGCAGCACAAGGCAGATACCTTCTGTCCGACAGCTGCGTTATCCAGACACACAGTGTGGGGGAACCAACACAGCAAATGGCTTACAAGCCCTGAGCATAGCTTCTCCTGGCCCAGGCTGTTCCATTAATATCTCTGCCTCTCTGCTTTTTCCACTGCAGGGGGCGTTGGTTCCTCGAGACCGGAAGTCCTACACCCATGCCCGGTGGGGGCAAGAGCCCTGCCAGTGCCTTTCACTACTCAATTCCCTCGGACGCTTAAGACGCAATCAATTTTCAAAAGTGGCAGAAGGGACTGCTGCCTCCGCCACCCAACTAGCTACAGTGTTAATTAATATTCTGGGAGTTTCCTCCACAGTCCTCCTGGACTGGAAGGGTCTTGGAACTCCGAAGCCATCGCTCTTAGAGTGGTAAGCTTGCTTTAGGGCTTCTGCGTGCCACTCCTGATGGCCCAGGTTTGAAGAGCTTCCTAGTAGTTTTCCCAGAGACAACAAGCCCACACTTGAGACATGCTTCCCTCTCCTCCCATTCTTTCAACCCAGATATAAAGCCTGGAGTCCTGTGGACGCTGGTGGGCGGGGGGTGAGGCCCTGGAGAAGGAGGCCTAGTATTCCCAAAAGCGGCCCTAAGGAGCAGAGTTGAAGGCTTGGGGATTGATACTGGAAGGAGAGAGGCAGGGACGCAAGAGCAGGAGACTCCTCCTAGAGTTGTGTTCAACTTCCCACAACCTGGAGGAGAAGGCTCAGGGGACCCAAGAGTGGATCACGGAATTATGTCACCGCAAGGGGCCTGGTGTCCAGGACCCCAGCCCCCGCCAGGGGACGGGTACCTTCTGACGCTAGAGAGGCGGGGAGCAGAGGGAGCGGGTTCGCGCGGAGGGCAACTCACGGAGGAGAAGTTGTGCGGGCCGCAGAGCTCGCCGCGGTACTTGCAGGACAGCAGCATGTCCTCGAGCTGGTGGCCCAGGCGGTCCATGAAGGCGGCGCTGATGCCTTCGAAGTGGCGCGGCGGCAGGAAGAGGCGGAAGTCGGCCAGCTTGCGGAACCACTGGCGGCGCGGCTCGTCGCCCCTCAGCAGCTCGCTGACCAGCGGGCGCGCCGTGCGGTTGGGCAGCAGCAGCCCTAGCCAGTGGCCGGCGTAGTAAAGGTCCCCCTTGGAGAGGCGCGGGAAGCGCAGCGGGTTGTTGTTGCACACGGTGACGGCGGGGAAGGGCAGCTGGCGGCTCCACTCGCGGTGCACCCGCGTGTGCGACGGGAAGCTGAGCCAGTACAGCAGGCGGTTTGAGGACCAGGACAGCAGTAAGCCAAGGGACGTGCAGAAGGCCAGCACCCACAGCGCCCGCCGCTGGAAGGAGCCCCCTGACGCCGCGCGTCCGGCGCACATGTGCCGCAGCCCGTGCAGTTTAGCGCGGCTCAGCGACGGCCGCCCCCTGCGGGCGACCCCTGGCCCCTGCAGCGCACGCTCGCGCACGCCGCCCCTGCCACCCCCGGGCTGCCCGGCCACCGCCACCGGCGCCGGCTCCTCGCGGACCATGCGGAAGCGTCCCGGGCCGGTGAGCGCGGCCGGGCGCAGCCCGGCTCCGCCGCTCCGGCTCATTCATTCAGCCCGCGGCTGGCGGCAGCGGCAGCGGCCCCGGCCGGGCGGAGCCGCCATGGGAGTCCGCAGCAGCACTGGAAGCAGCAGCAGCAGCCGCGCGCAGCCCGCGCTAGGGAAGCGTGCGCCCGAAAGGAGCTCCGGTGGCGCGGCATGCCCGCCGGGCACCGCCGCTGCCGCCTCCGCGGGCGCCCGGCCCGGACTGAGCGTCGCCTCGGCCCGCCGCTCCTGGCACTGGCCTCTCGCGAGCGCCTCCCAGACTCTCCTGGTCCCTAGTCTTCCTGAAGAATGCCCGATGCCTTCCACTACCTCTGCATGGAGCCCCACCGGGCGCCGCCTCTCCAGTCCCTGGGTGCTGCGCCCGTCCGCCTTCGTTATGGACCTCGGGGGACCCTTAACTGAGTACCCCCTGCTCTGCCTAACCCCAGCTTTTACGCTGGTCTTGGGAGAGCAGCCACTCGGCCACCGTGACTGATTTGGACATTCCCAAAGACCGCACCAACCCGGTCAGTAGCCCATCGGTGCTGGGACACGAGAGAGAAGTCGCCAGGGAACGAGCGCCCCCAGAGGCGCACCGCGGCCCCTGGCTCGGCGGGTGGGGTGGGTGTGTACTGGGGTGAGTGGTCTCTCCGTTGGCTGCTGCCCTATTTCCCTTCCCTCCAGGACCCTTCTCACTGCTCCTCGGGCTGCGCTCCGCCGAGACTGGCTAAGCCTCCCTCAAGTCCCGCGCCCGAGCCTTGCGTTGATATGTGCCCGCTCTCGCCTGGGGCTGGGGGCTCTCAGGGCGTCCTGCCAGAGGCTGCTGGCTGCTGGGCCCCGTCGAGGAGGCTGGCCAGAGGGAAGTGTCGTTTCTTCACCCAGCTCTCAGGGGTGCCTCGAGTCTCCAGAAAGCCGGGCCTTGCTGTCCGCTGCCTCTTCTCACTGCCCCGGCGACTCCAGAAGCTGAGGACTGCGGAGCCCCGGCTTACACCTCCCGGGGGGGTGACCCGAACTCGCTGCTCGGAGCGCCCTTCTTCTCTCGAGATTCCAAGTTCTCGGTGGCGGCGGCGCCGGCTGAGCTCCTTTCCCGGTTGCCCGGCCCTCTTCGGGCCCCGGGCGAACTTGGGCAGCGGCCGCGCGATGCTGGCGCGGCTGGGCTTCAAGCACCTGCTCTTCAGCTCGCTGGCCCCGCGGCTCCAGGCGGGCGGGGCGGCGGTGGCGAGCGCTGTGCGCTCCTGGAGACGCGGTGCTGACGCGCCCGGCTCCTCCTCGCTGCATTTTAATTCCTGGCCACTGTGGCCGCTGCACACCGAGCGGGAAGCCTCTTGCTGGAGTCGGCCGGGTGGGGGACACTGCACAGATGCGCCGGGGTGTGCGGGCTGGTGGGAGAGGTGTGGAGTAGAAACATTGTGTTTACGGGGGCGCATGTTCAATTAAGAGTGAGAGCTATCCTGACTGTGTGAGATGGGCTGTAGAGAGTGAGCCACGGGGTAGTGTGGCATTCGAACAAGTGTATGTGTGGGGTATCTGCGCTGAGTGTGGGTAGAATGTGCACGTGTATGCCTGAAGAGGCATTTCCGTGTATCTCATGAATGTGAGCTCGTTTGCACATGCTGCTCTGTGGCTACTTGAGTGTGTGTGGGATAGTGTCTGACAGTGTGTATGTTCTATATATGTGCACTTAGTGGGTGGTATGAACGGATGTGTTGATGTGAGGTGCACAGTAGGTCTCTACCCACACTTCCTAAATACTTGACTCACGGAGGCCTCACTGGGACAGGTAACACTTCAGCCCCATTACTCCATGGGATTAAAGAGTTGGCCAGACATTTTCCAGAGATCAGATTTTAATGAGGGGGCGGGAGTCAGGTGGGAGTAGAGGCAGTGTGACGGGATCCTTGTGGTGGGAGAGCACTGGTGAAGTTGGAGGATTTGGGCCTGGAGACGAGATTCACCCATTTTGTCATGAGTTATTAGGGCACTGGGGCAGATCTGTTAAATGAGCAGCTGGTGCGTGAGAGGTGCTGGGGTGGGCTCTCCCACCCCACTGGCCTGGAGGGTGTCCTGTCAGCATGGAAGCTCCCCGCATCTGGGCTCTGGGGAAGAGGACATCTGAGCCCTACACATTCCCACTCACCCACGCAGGTACATAAACACGGCATACATGCACACAACACACCCCCCCCAGCTGGAGGCACAAGCTATTGAAGTTGGGCTTTGCTGAAATTCCGCTTTGGATTTGGTTCCTTGAATATGTCTGTTGCTGGCTTTGGAATAGGGTGCTGAATCTGCCAGTTTAATGGGACCTCTGAGAATTGCTCACAGACCAGTGCTCCCAGTCCGGTGCCAGCCGTCCCGGGGGGTGCCAGGGCGACCCCTACCCCAGCCAAGGTGGGGCAACCTTGTGAGATCAGTGCAGTTACTGATGAAACAGCCAGGGCAAGCGTGTGAGTCTTCCAGCGTCCTAACTCCAGGGTGTCAATAAGCTCTGTCTTCTAGAAAGCTTTAGGGCATTTTATGTTTCTTTCTTGGAAATTTCCCTCCTGAGATAGACACATGCTGCTTTTTGGTTGCCCGAGTGTCTTCTCTGCCATGGCTTTTCTTGTGAATTCTCCGGATGGTCGCTTCTCCAGAGAGAGAAGGGAATCCTTACCAGAGAGGGGCAGAACTGCTCGCCCTGAGCCACACAGCCCCGGAGCAGGGGAGCAGCCTTTGAATCCAGGCAGTCTGGCTCCACGCCCTGTGCTCCCGACGTCCACCCCATAGCGTCTCTGTTCTCGGAGCTACACTGACACAAGGGTTCATGGATATTAGCTTTCCCATCCTGGCAGGCTCACTTGGCCAGAAAAAGAAATTCACAAGGCAGTGCATGAGCTGACCCGCATAACCTATCCACTAAGAAATTAGAACTGAGCGTCGAGAATCCCCAATAATAAGCTTTCAAGAACATCTCTCTTTTCTTGTTTTTCTCTGAAACATCTGCCGCTCCACACCTGGCTTCCTGGCATTCTGTCTGGCGTTTGTGTGCAGGGGCAGAGGGGCCTGCAGCCAGCCAGCACCCATTCTTCTGTGTGACCACCACCATTAACTATAAGCTCTTTCTGGCTGGGAAACCATGAAATGAGTTTGTTGGGAGAAAGAGGTCCATTTAAATCAATGCGATTTTCTGTTTTTCTAATCCAGTTTTAGGAGTTGACACTTGTTGGCTTGATTAGGCTTCATTGAGCCCCAGTGTTCCTATGTACCCCAAGCCCTGCTACTTGGGGGGCTGGCATCGGAGGTGCCATTTAACCCTGCTCTCGACCTGCTGTATGGATGCCCCTCTACACACGCCTGCAATGACAATCCACCATCCTACCCTGAAACCTGGCATTGTTTAGAGCTGCTTCTTTTCACCAGATTGGAATGTCTCCTTGTGAATTTCTGTAATTTCTCCTGATTTATCCATTGGGAGCCGCGCAAAATGAGTTTAAATTTTCTTTCCCATGAGAACCCTTCAAAATGCTTTATGGAATTGGAGTACTTCAGTGCTGAATGGGGCTCCAGTGGTCTACCCAACTATCAAAGTCTTAAGGTAGTCTTTCTGCTCCAGGTTAAACATCAACAGTTCCTTCAAGCGTTTCTCCTGTATGTTCTGGTCTTGGGAAGGGATCTTAGACGTCAACATCTTTAATTTATGACCCTCTAGCCCTGTGGAAGATAAGCCCACCAAGCCTTTTATTCTGGACCTGGTCCTTGCAGCCTCTGATCTTACTTTGGATGGTTATGGGTTCTTAGTTGTCCGCCTACCTCTGGGGCTCAGTGGAGGTGGTGGGTGGGGAGAGGGGACATTAACGATGATGTGTTCTTGGTGTCCTTACTTAGAAGGCCCTAGTACAATTTCTTTCAGGACTCAGCTGCTCATGGTGATCAATCAACACTACTTTTAATATTAAAATTCATTGATATGATTGCTGGGACAGGTGGTCTTTTGTGGGTCTGCCTGGGAATCTCATTATCCCTCTTTTTCTCCTTCTTTGTCTTTTTCTGAGTCTGTCTACTGCTCTTGGCTCTCTGTCCCTCTGTCCCTCTTTCTTTTTTCCCTTCTCTTTCCCCTCTCCCCAACCTCTGCCTGAAGCCTAGCTGTCCTCTCTGATACCTTCTTTGCCCACACTGCCAGTGGCCTCTGATGTCATCAAAGTGGCTGCAGTGTCACAGGTCCTGAGCAAATGTCTAGTCATCAGGATGGGGGTCCCTGTACTGGTGAAAGAGAGTGAGGAGGACGCCTCCCCCGTGGGTTTGGCTCATCGCACACTCACTGCGCCCGTCCCACCGTGGGCTGGCACTGGAGTTGCTGTTCCAGTCTACCTTCCCACGTGCTTCGCGACTCCACTGCTTTCCCTCTCACTCTGCGGTCTTCTTGTATTACACTTGGCCTCTCCTAGTTTTCTCTCCTGAGCTCTTTTTTGGCCTCATCAGGTATTTTTTTCACCTTTTTGGTCACCCCCATTTTTCTTGAGTTCAGGCTCTCAGCTGCCCATTCTCCAGCAGCACAAAATCCCAGTGGTAAGAGGGCAGACAGGATCCCACGACCACCACCATATAAAAGATCCAGGGCTTGGAGAACTAAGTCTGGGGCAGAGGGCAAGTGGGAGGGGCTCTGCTGCTTGGGAGGAGGGAGCTGGATGGGAGATCTAATTTAACCCCTTCACTCTCCAGGGAGCAAGCTGAGGTCCGGAGAGGGGAGAGACATACTCTAGAGTGCACAGGCTGGTACTGATAAGCAGAGAACTAGCATCCAGAGTCCAACTTTCAGTTCACGCTCTGCTCCCTCTATAAAAGCACTTTTTAAAAAATCCATTTTGCAATCAGTAATCTATTCACATGGTTCAAAAAGGACAAAAGAGTAAAGAATTTAGTATATTTTACTCAATTTTTCCTCCCTAGAGGCAACTAATGCTATCAATTTGTTGTATGATCTAATAGTGGTACTGTATGAAAATTTATATGTGTATAGTCTCCATATGTCCCTTTTCTTACACAAA